ACTGTTGCTACTCATATTGAAAGATGTGAATAAAGTGACTTTGCACATTAAATGGTAAATTATTATGTGTTCAAATGTTTATAAAATTAGTTATAAATAGAGGTTGAATATTATAAAAAATAATGATTTAAATTAGCAAAAAAAAAAAAAATCTTTAAACATGATGAATTTGTGGGCTGATTATTCCATACCTGATCTAGGTATCTTTATGATGTTTGTAAAGCTGTTGATTAGTAAGATGTCAATGAAGAAATATAAAATCAGAAAGTGATAACTTGTTTTTAAGTTATCTTCAGTGAAGAGAGGCTATGTAACTATAATGTTGTACTATAAAAATTCATAGACCACAATTATCCTAAACTTTTCAACAATCATGATGAACCATTATCCTAGTAGCTAAGAGGGTTCAGAATGATTTTCTGGAGTCAGTCAGACAGATAGCTAAAATATGACAGGACAGCATATAGTACTGTAGTGTAGTGCATAGTACACAGTACAGTACAGAGCAAAACAGAGTGAATACTCAGACATTAACAGAGCAAATATGACGACACAACAGAAGTACATTTAAATCAACATGAAGGCATATATGGAGAAACTTGTCTTTTAAGGGAAAGGATTTGGTTGAAGACAGAGCCGTAGTTGTGCATATTTTGGTCAAGCATGGAGAACCAAGTAACCTGGTCTAGTAAATACTTCCTCAAGTATGCTTTAGCACGTGTTTAGTGGCACTGTTTTTCCCTTCCTCATATTCTCTCTAGTATACCTTTCTCTGTTAAGAATCTGGGCCACAATCCAAGCAAAAAATGCAGTTTTTTCCATTTCATTGTTTTAAGGACACTGTACTTTATACATTTTCAAGATTATCATATCATACAAATTTATTTAAAAGAGTATACCTAGATCAAGATGCATTATTATATCACCCTTGATAATGGTCTCCTATTAAACCCTCATCAAGTATTTATTAAAAGACTATGGCATTTTTAAATGCATTGTTTTAATTACCTTCTTCTTTCACAAAACTAGGGTTATGAAGATGACAGTATCATAAAACTTTATTTTTTTTTCAGCATTTTCAAATAGGTTTAAATGAACTTTTCTGCTCTCAAAGTCCTGATCCACTGGAATTTTCCTCCCTTGTGCTCGGTGGGATTCAGTCATGGTTCCATATGCCAAGGTTATGTTCTACAGATTTTGCTCATGTTCTATAGATTTTTCACTCTGCATTTGCATTCTGCTAATACATAATTCAAGTTAGAATAAAGAAAGCATAATTCATTTAATTTTAGATGCCTAAGAATTTCTGTTATATGTATATTCATTATATAATAATATGTTAAAGGGAAAAATATAAAAAAAAGCAAAATTATAGCATTGTAATATTATAGATCATAGGTACACACACATTTGTCTATGCACTATCTGATACCAACAAAAGGGATGGAAGGAAGTATAGATTCTCTAAAAATAAATGGAAAATTAATGAAGATAGAAAAAAACACAGTGATATTGCCTAAGAAGAAGCAAAAAAAAAAAACACGAGTAAATTATAAATATCTGTGATGAATGATTCTTCAGTAGATGATTCTATTCGTTCGATCTGAGAAGTACTATGCATCCAATGTTGAAAAGAAAATGAACCAAAGAGAATGGTCATAGTTCTTTGGAACATAATTACTAAGCAAAAAAAGATGTCAATAAAGTGTTGACATGTAAAAGGCTATGGTAATCTGAAAGAGAGAGTCACAGAAGACCATATATTCTATGTGGTGTAGGTGAGTGTGTGTTGTAACACAAGAGCTATATCCAAAGTCCAAACCAAATAGAAATGGTCATTTGACTCTGTGAATGTATTTTTTTTAAATCACCAAACTGCATATTTTTTTTATTTAAATCAGTTTTATTTAAGAATTTCCAACAATGACAACTCTTATAAAAAAAAAAAAAAAGTATCCAAGCACAGGACACAAAACTGCATCAAACAGCATTCTTTTTTTTTTTTTTTTGAATTTTATTTTTTTTTATCAGTTACATTTTATTAACTCTGTATCCCAACCGTGTCCCGATTCCTCATTCCCTGCCAGTCCCTCCCTCCCTCCCTCCCTCACCTCCACCCTGCCCCTTTCCAAATCCACTGATAGTGGGGACCTCCTCCCCATTCATCTGATCCTGTTTTATCAGGTATCTTCAGGACTGGCTGCAAAGATCTCCTCTGTGGCCTAACAGGACTGCTCCTCCCTTGGGGGGTGGGGAGGCCAAAGAGCCAGTCATTGAGTTCCTGTTAGAAATAGTCCTTGTTCCCCTCACTATGGGAAAGCAATTGGTTACTGAGCTACCACAGGCTACATCTGAGCAGAGGTTCTAGGTTATATCCATACATGGTCCTTGGTTGAATATCAGTCTCAGAAAAGACCTTGTGCCCAGATATCTTTGGTCCTTGTGGAGCTCCTATCCTTTCCCCATCAGACTAACTCCCCTTCTTTCTTATGATTCCCTGTACTCTGCCAAAGCTTTGGTCATGAGTCTTTGTTTTGAAAAAACTGCTAGTTAGAGTCTTTCAGATGCCTTCAGTAGACTCCTGTCATACATTTAATGCACATCCCATCTGTCTTTCTAAAGACAGGATTGATCATCTTACCCCATGTCTGCTCTCTTGATTATCTTTTTTAGGTGTACAGATTTCATTATGTTTATCACATCTTATAGGTCTATATAAGTGAGTATATACCGTGTTTGTCTTTCTCCTTCTGGGATATTTCACTCAGAATGATCTTTTCTAGATCCCACCATTTGCCTGCAAATATCATGATTTCCTCCTTTTTGATTACTGAGTAGTATTCCATTGTGTAAAAACACCACAGTTTCTCTACCCATTCCTCCGTTGATGGACATCTGGGTTGTTTCCAGGTTGTGGCTATTACAAATAAAGCTGCTATAAACATGGTTGAGCAAATGTCCCTTTTGTGTACTTGAGCATACTTTGGGTATATACCTAACAGTGATATAGCTGGGTCTTGAGGAAGCACTATTCCTAATTGTCTTAGAAAGCTCCAGATAGATTTCCAGAGTGGTTGTACCAGTTTACATTCCCACCAGCAGTGGAGGAGGGTTCCCCTTTCTCCACAACCTCTCCAGCATGTGTTGTCCCTTGAGTTTTTCATCTTGGCCATTCTGATGGGTGTAAGGTGAAATCTCAGGGTTGTTTTGATTTGCATTTCTCTAATGGCTAATGAGGTTGAGCATTTCTTTAAGTGCTTCTCTGCCATTTGATATTCCTCTGTCAAGAATTCTCTGTTTAGCTCTGTTCCACATTTTTTAATTGGATGACTTGGTTTGCTGCTTTTCAGCTTCTTTAGTTCTTTGTATATACTCGATATTAGTCCCCTGTCAGATAAAGGGTTAGTAAAGATTCTTTCCCAATCTGTAGGCAGTCGTTTTGTTTTGATGATGGTGTCCTTTGCTTTACAGAGCTTTTCAGTTTCATGAGGTCTCATTTATTGATTGTTGCTCTTAGAGCCTGTGCTGTTGGTGTTCTGTTCAGGAAGTTGTCTCCTGTGCCAATGAGTGCTAGGCTGTTCCCAACTTTTTCTTCTAACAGATTTAGAGTATCTGGTTTTATGTTGAGGTCTTTGATCCACTTGGACTTTAGTTTTGTGCAGAGTGATAAATATAGATCTATTTTTATTTTTCTGCATGTGGACATCCAGTGTGACTAGCACCATTTGTTGAAGATGCTGTCTTTTTTCCAGTGAATTGAGCGAACAGCATTCTTATGAATAGCTAACAGACATGAGAACTTCCACCTTCCTTTGAGACACTTGAGCTCACTGGAGAACTCTGCTTCCAAGTTCTCCTGCAAAGCACTCCACAAGCTCAGTCCATGTTTGCAGCCCATCAGCTTCAGCTCACGTTCCCACACCTCCATATCAGTGACAGAGGAGCACACACACCATACAGCATTCACAGCAGTTGACAGAAGGGGAGGGAGGTACAAGTTTTTCACTTAACACATTCAACTAAAGTGGATTTTCTAAGAACAAAACTCAAGTCCTCCAACAGATGTGGGTGTCCTTTGATGCAAAATCATTCGTACGTTATTTGCTATCATTGCTCTCTGCACACTCTCTCACCAAAGCCACAGGGTCGAGTGACACATCTCTCCAAGTTAAAAAATATCCATTTTGCACCACCAAGTCTCTGCACACGCTCTCCTTTTCTCACTCATGCTAGCCTTTCATACCTCGGCACCACCATCAATCCCACACAAGCTTTAAATGTTCAAACAGCCTTCTGGTTCCATATCACAGCCTTGCGTTCACAGCATTGATACGACTCCATGAAATAAAGAGTAGCAGATAAAAATGGAACACCCACCGTCAAAGACGCAGCCTGTGCAGCGTGATGATGAATTCTTGAATGAGAAAGCATAAAGACAGAAGTATTCCTATGGCAGAATATTTACAGCACTACTTTCAATGAAGTGCTTCTTCCATGAATATTTGAAATGAGATGAACTACAGAGATTAAATGAAGGTTTCATATTGTACTTTCGTATATGAAGGAAGACAAGTGTTAAAAACAAAACCAAAAGAACCAAACACCATGACATCATGATCTCCCAAATAGAGATATTCCTAAGAAAAAAAATTCATACGGTGGGATTCAAATTAAAATAAGGAGAAAATGTAGTTCTAACCAATGGTTTCTACTCTGAACATGCAAAGAAACCATTTAACAAGTCCAATGATAGATTACAGAGAAACCTTCTGAGATCAACTGTAGTGTTGGTTTACCAATTAGGCAAACAGCAGTTCACTTTTACCCACTCAGTATTTTACCCCTTTATATAACAAAACTAATAAAATTCATTTAGCTTTTCCTCTTTTTCTAAAGAAAAATGTCAAAAATACTGCTGAATATACTCCACATCGAACAAACCAATTTGAAAATTTAGTACATATTTATTTTACAATATACTTACCATGAGTGTAGAAAAATTTGAACCCCACCATTCTATACCTACCTACCCTACCTACCTACCCACCACCAACCAATCAACCACCCCCACTGCCTACATTCCCCAGCCAGAGGATTTATTAGACTCCATGCTTGAGCCAAAGCCTCCATTAAAACCACTGCCTGACCCTGCATTTGATGCTGATTCCCAACCAAAGGGGGCACCAGAATTAGAAGCACTGTAGGAATGATTTCCAGAACCAAAAGCCTGATTTGGTTCCCTCTGCATGCTGGCCTGGCTTTGGTTATTACCAGATGGGCCTGACTGGTTCTGCTAGCTGGCTAACATGCCCATCATACCCCAACTGCTCTGCAATGCTGCCTGGGCTGCAGCCATCATCGCTGGATTAATGCTAAAAGCTCCAAAGTTCATCCCTCCACCCATATTACCACCCTGGTTATTTCCCAAGCCAGCTCCAACCCCTCTACTGTTACCAAACCCACCCTGATTCCCAAAGCCACCTGGATTACCACCAAATCTTCCACTTCTTTCTAACTTTCTATTGCTATTATGCTTAGGTTCAGCATTGGATATATGCACGCTGATTCCTTTAATGATCAAGTCCTCTCCACAAAGAGACTGAGCAACCTTATCATCTGCAAAGGTAACAAAGGCAAAAGCTCTGAATGGTTTGGGAATGAAGACATCTACCGCTTCTCCATACTGACAAAAGAACTGTTGAAGCTCTTCAGCAGTCATGTCCTCTGTACAACGTGCAACAAACACCTTTCTGCTCCTTAAAGGCTCATCTGGGCTTTGCTTAGAATTCGGAAGTTTACAGTCACACCATCACCCATCTATCATATGTCGTTGTGACATTACTTTCACTGGGGTTTCATATTCCGTAAATCGAACAAACCCAAACCCTTTTGAGTGACCAGTTTTAAGATCTTTCTTGACCTGAACCATAAGAACCTCTCCAAAAGTACTGAAATAATCTTTAAGATCCTGTTCTGTTGTTTTCCAGGGGAGACCCAACACTATTAGATCAGATGTTTTTTTGGACTGCTCTTTTCACTTTCACAGCTGAGGAAGCATCCGTCTCATCCATTTTTCTTTTGTTATCTTTGGGATAGTTGACAACATATACCAGATTGCCCCAGCCAGCATCTGGAGCGTGCAGAATTCCCTCCACCAGCCGGACGCCTCGCATACACTGAGATACTGGATTCCAGTAGCGCAGGCCACATGTCCCTGGAAACTGGGCTGTGACTGTGGACAGTAATACTGTTCCATCGTCTTCTGATGGTATTTCAATTGGTTCATCGTTCTCATCTCCTGTTACCCGAATATATTCAGACATCTTTGATTAAATTTCCACTAGGCTGCCGCTAGGAAGCACAACGACAAGACAGAGACGGCGAGAAACCCGAAATGAGCCGAGCTACCGCTTCATGCCCACAAAATCAAACTGTGTATTTTTAAGGATGAAATTATGTTATAGAAATTTCATCTGAGTAAGTCTGTTACTAACACTTAAAGAAAGTTTTTAATGTAATTAAATAATACCACAAATAATCAAAATTGGCTCTCATGGCTAAAGACATTGCATAGAGCATCTCAAGCCCACTACATCTTATTACTTTCTTTTCTTTTGTGTATAAATGAAATTATAATTCCATAGAGGAATTTTAATTCAGCAAATGGTTATTCAGGCTTATCCAGTAGTTAGTCTGAGAGGCTGAAAACATTCTAGGGCTAGGTTAGCAGATGGAGGCTGGAAGCTGAAATCTTAAAGGTCCATGCTTACACATTGTATGAAGCCTAGAAGCTTCCAGGCCTAGGCCTTAGGATAGTTGAAACAGAGACAGAAACACTCCAGTGTGTATTAGTAAAGGTCAGGTATGGCTCTCATCTGATCCCTTTATATGAGAAAAGTAAAAACATTTACATAATTATTTTAATTAAAGTTTATGCTGGCTTAGGATGTTTAAGCATTGCAATCAAACCCACCAAAATAAATTTGATCACGGTAACCCACGGAAGCAGAATGAGTCACCAAGTGCTGAAGGCTGTCCACTAACCTTAGCATCCCTGTCATCAATATTATCATCATCATCATCATCATCTCTCTCTCTCAGTTAATAAATTTTAACTCAAATTTGAGAAAAATTTAAAAATAAAGTTGTCCAAAATTTATAAGCAAATGTCACATATTTCTTCTATATAAGAGATTAATTCTTAAAATAAATAAAACAGGGTCAGATGAATGGGGAGAAGGTCCCCCCCCCCCACATCAGTGGACTTAGAAAGGGACAGGGTGGAGATGAGGGAGGGAGGGTAGGATTGGGGAGGGAATGAGGGAGTGGGATACAGCTGGGATACAAAGTTAATATAAAATGTAACTAATAAGAAAAAAATAAAATTAAAAAAAGTCCTGGTGAGTCACAGTTGTTTTCACTTTACATTTTATCACTTTAATTTCTGAATTGGAAAAAGAAAAATACTGATATAAGTAAACTATACTGAAATATGGTTTGGTGCACATTCAAAGAAATAGTTTAGTGCCTCAAAATCCTATCTTTACTATATGGAAGTATATATCTATATTTAAATATGTAGTGTAAATTGTTTGGAAGTGTTATAAGTAATAGACAATATGAGAATGTATAAATAGAAATGTGTAAAAATATATGCCAAAACAGACTTATTGGATCATTTATAAGAAATTAAAAATAATTTGAGATGCATAGTCAGGTGTTGGTATTAACAGTTTGTGGACTGGACTTGTATATAATATATGTGTATTATTAGAAAATATTAAGCATAAATATTAATTACAACAAAATAGCTTTTAAAGTATTTCTTAAATATTTATTCCTTTAGTTAATTGGAGATTCAATAGACAATTAAAATGCTTATAGAAATTTGGAAAATTATTTGGCTAATTTGGGAAGAATCAGTGAAATAAACAAGCAATTTTTACCCAGATCTTTTTGTTTCTTTGTTTGTTCTTTTAAACCATTTACAGATCTTTCATATGTATTCTGTCATTTGACCTCACAACAACTGTGTGAGGTAGGCAGCAAATGTTCTCATGGTACAGATGAGGAAAGTAAATCTTCAAACCTTTAACTGACCTGCCCATTCTACAGTTAGCAACAAATGTGTATGTCAGTCTTTGACCTAAAAATTCAGCACCTAACCTCCCATTTACTCGCCCTACCTACATCATAGGGATTAGTTCAAGGCTCAAAAAATACTTTGATGGGAAAGAAAATATTTTATAATTACTAAATATAATCATCTGTGACATAATGGTTCACCTCCTTTCCCATCCCAGCTTGTACCTGAACCCAGAATTTTATATTATCTATCTTCTGTCCTCAAATAAGGAAGAAAGTAAGATAGGGTAAGAGTGTAGTCCTGTTGGAAACTATGTAGAGTATAATCAAGTAACTGCAGCCTTAAGCAACCTGAAAACACAGGTGTGATTTTGTGCAACCAGAATGCATAAAAGCACACACACAGCGAGGCAGCATTATCAAGTGGGCTTGATTGCACAGGAAGAAAACATGGTGCCAGAGTTTGTACTGGCACACACAAAGGCATCTAAGGCGAGGTGGTGGCAAAGAAGAGTTATTTGTTCCACATTGTATAGAGGAGCAGAAGATGCATGGGGAGCCTGCAAAAGCAGCATACACCACAGATGCGTACAGCTGGCGACAGGAAATACGCACTGTCAAACATGAGTGCACCTGCCCCAGGTCCTGAACCAAGAAATAGCTCCAATGCATTAAACACGTATACGTAGAATTACCAACAAAAAGCTCAATATAACTTTCTTTGGGTCTTAAACCAGGAAAATCCAAAGTAGATCTCGAAGAAAAAGATAAAGAGCCAAAGAGCTTGCTTTTCACCTTAAAAGACATTTTATTTATTATCCAATTAGGAAAGATGGTACTGGTTATATTTTAGTTAGGAGATCTGCCCAGATCTTATGTGGATGATTTAAGGGCTTCTTAACCTACCTAAAATAAATTGCAAACTAAATTTAAAGGTCAGATATTGAACAATTTACTAAGTATTGAGTGTAGTTTAATGAGTGTGAAACCAATCATTGCTTTGGATATTACAGCCAACAATATTTTCAAAAATTTCCTTTCTACCCCCCAAATAAAAGAAAGTTTCACTTACACAAGTGTGTGTGTGCAAACACCTACACCTTTTAAAACATCTTAATAGAATTATAAGTCTTTCTCTCCTTTTCTACTCTCAACCCCATCAACTCCTCTACATGAAATCTCTCCCATAAGACCTCATCACTCAAGTTGTTAGCTTCATTATCTTTTATTATTATTGCTAGGTAAATATATGTGCAAATATATATATATATATAAATGTACTTCACCGATTTCTCTTTTTGTTTTTTGCTTCTGTATAAATAAGAAGCACTTCATCTATTGAACCATCACAGAAGCCATAAAGACAGTTTTAATTTAATACAAAAAACAGATAATCTAGTAAGTATAAATATAAAATAAAATGTACTTAAGTTTCATCACATTTAAATGGATATGTGCATGTGTGTTGGAGTGTGTGTGTGTGTGTGTGTGTGTGTGTGTGTGTGTGTGCCTCCTTGTAGAGGTATTTATCAGAGAATATTTTACCTAAATGTCATTATAAATTATTTTTGTGGAGTTGAGAAAATTGAACTATAAGCAAAAGATGACTGTTCTAACATAATCATACATATATAGTAGATTTTTATTTTCTAACAGATGAAAAATTTAAAACTACTTCTTAGGCTTTGGATTTGTATTGCTCTTTTATATGTGCCTTTCTCTTTCCTTGCATCATAATTATTTATGAGTATGACAACATTCGTGAAATCAGAGAACTATGCCAATGTGTAGACATAGGATTGTTGGGTCCTCATCTATTTGATATAGAGCTCTGCTTCAGGGATTACATATTGAATGACCTCACATGAGATTGTTGTCTGCAGCAAAGTAAAATCTTTAAGATGCTAAGTGTTGGGGGATACCTCATGAGTTCAGTTCCTTGAATTAATCCATTCATCTGATCATGGAATGGATTTGGGAAAATAATCTTCCCATTATAGTCTTGTTATCATTATTTAATACTGAGTCATAGTATGGACTGTAAATAAGAGAGAATTGTTAGTAGAACTCTGAGAGTATTGGATAAGTCAAGGGAAGAAAACCTGTAAAACGCATTAAATAGCAGATTTTAGTTGAGCAAAGATTAGAACTATGTCAAATCCATAAGAATCCATCATTGGCATTAATGATGATGATTTTGTTGGAAGAAACTTTACTTTTGGAATACTGAGTGCACATTTTAAATGAGTAAAAATGATAGGTAAAGTAAAATATCAGGAATCCTGAAACGTCTTTATTAAATATCTATGTTCAGGAAAATTAAGCAAAGCTAAATGTTGGAAAAATTGATAGACTTCAAAAGTTAAAAAAAAAATTATGTTCAAGAGTTAAGATAAGGATGTGATAATCAGTCAACAAAAAGGAAAATCTTTGTATAAAAGAAAGTTAGGAAAATTTTATTTATTGGTATTAGATGTGGATTAGATTCAGATGGAAAAATGGTGTGTGCTATGAAAGTCTATTAGTTTTAAAAGAATTGTCTACTGGATTTTTTTTCTTTTTGGAAGGTGAACATTAAAAGTGATGAATAAACTGAAAATTAATTTTGAAGAAATTGTTGTAGTTCATAACTAAGCTACTATAGTGAAAATCTGGAAAAAAGATAACAATGAATATAACCAGATATATGGGTGCCACGGAAATCCCTACAAGGTTAGGCACATGAAAGTGCAGCAATCTAGCATCTGATGATACCAATTCACAAAGAAAGAGATGGGAGTTTTCTGCTCAGTATGAGAAGATAGAATTTTCAATGTGAAATTCTCTGTGAAGTCAAGTCAGAAGTAGAGTCAGATTGGAAAGTTCACTGAGTTTCAAAGAATCAAGAAAATAAGATGCTTGGCGAATAATTCATTTGGATGCTGAAATCATATAAAGCAATTGTAGGTTTGTGATGTATATGAAATGCTATGGCAAATGACAGAATGAGGAATAGTAGGGGTAAGAGCATCAGATGTCAAATGACCCATAAAGGAATAAAAGTGGAAAAATAATATGGTCTAGAAACCTAATCTTGGATTAGGTTTATGAGTCAACCATATTGCCCATATTTCAATCTGTCACTGTAACATTATTATTTGTGCTACATGTGAAACAGAATGCAACAAGGAATGGCTGAGGAGTTTCAGGGCTGTAGAGATGAATAAATTTGCCCTGAAGTCTCTGACTTTTAACTTAGGCAAAAGTCTTAAAACCTGATAAAAGGAGTACCTCTTTCTCTGAAAGGAAGTCCAAAAAATCATAAAAGTTCAAGATTTTTAA